ACATTGGCTTACATAGCAGTAGGGGATTTATGTGGGCAAACAGGAGAGATGACAGCAGCAAGGATCTGTCTAGGCTGGGTATGAAGCATCTCTCCTTGAGGCGGAGGATGGTTAGCAGGGTCCACACTGGGCAATGAACAAAGTGGCCTCTGCAGTGACACACACACACCCCTGCCCCGCCCTCTGCTTGCAGAGATTCAGGGGTGGGGGTTGGAAGGAAGGAGAGTCCTCCATGGTGGTGGAGTTGGTGTCAGAATGCAGCCCTGCCTTTCAAAGAGCCATCAGGCTTTTACCTTAAGTAATGGTCATGGTTAGAGCAAGAATGACACGTCCTCACTCACAATAAATCCCCAAACTGCATGTCCAATTATATATAGCCTACGTTCTCTCCTAAATATTTGTATTGTTTTAAATGTGGATACCACTGGGGAGGGGAAATAGGGGATGGGACAGAGGACTGCGATTTTTAATTAAAAGCTTAAAAAATTTCCCTGTCCAGTGTAGTTCAATTGGACATCATCCCTGCATAAAACGTTGCTGTTCCATTCCCAGTCAGGGTACATGCCTGGGTTTCCCACTCATCCCTGGTGGGAGGTGTGTAGGAGGTAGCTGGTAAATGAATGTGCTCTCACATTGATGTTTCTCTCTCCTCCCTTTCTCTTTCTCTAAAAATCAATGAACTATTCTAAAAAATAAAATAAAGCTTAAAAAATAGAAGCTTTGTACATGTATACCTTTAAGAAAATGTTTTTTAAATCTCTGCTACTTCTTTTTTGTTTTAGAAGTACAGTCTCCTCTCAGCCTAGGAGGATACATTCCAAAAACCCTAGTGGATGCCTGAAACCATGGATAGTACTATATCCCATATAATATGTTTTTTTCTCCTATATATGTGTTCTTTTTTACTTAAAGGAAGCATTTTATGGCTCCTCTTTTGCATATCTGAATTACACCTTGGGGTCATTATTAAGTAAAATATGGGTTATTTGAACACAAGGACTGTTGATTTGATATCTAAGACCAATGGGTAAGTAGTGCATGCAGCATGAATATGCTGGACAGAAGGATGACTCACGATCTGGGTGAGAGATTACATCATGTTACTTGGTGCAATTTGAAACTTATGAATTGTTTATTCTGGCATTTTCTATTTAATATTTTTGGACCATAGTTGATGGTGGGTAACTGAAACTGCAGATAGCAAAACCCTGGATAAGTGGGAAAATGCTTTAAGACATACTCAATGGGCAAAATTTAGAAAATTCAGAGAACTTTTCCCAAGATGCACCATCCAGAAATATTTACTATTGACCTTCCTTCTAGATTCTTCCATATTTTCTTGACATATGCATAGATATATATTTAAAACAAAAATGGATCATGTAATAACATTTTGCTTTTGTTACTATATCTTTAAAACAAAATCCTAAGTCAAAGGGTATACATTTGATACTATAGGACTTAGGACCCTTTGCTTCCAAGTGCCAGCGTTTCAGGGTTAAGCGCTTTAGGTAAAAAGGGGACAGGATATAGAAACGGCACCGAGAATAAGTGGATTCCAGGACTTAATGCCTCTAACTCTCTGAGCCTCTTCTCTCTCTGGTTTCTTTTAATGTAATTGGTTCATTATTCTCTCACATTGAACATTAGTGGGAAATACTTCGACTGGTTGTAGAGTTTTACAACTTCCCATTTTAGCTCTCCGAGGAGATGAATCCCCGAGTTCTATAAACCACCAAAAAGCTCACTAGGATTGCTTAGATCCTCTAGCGCCGTGTGGTCGTGAAAGATTCTTGTACAAACCTGATGAATGGAGTGGAGGAAGAATTTCTATTGGAGAAAGACTTTTAAGAAGAATGGCCCAGGAAAGAGGACCAAGCTGTTAACAGAGAAAGGGAGGATTCAGGGCAGAGAAAATAAGAGCATCCCCAATGAATATGTGTTGATAAATTGTGCTCCAGAGAATATATCAATAGTCACTCCCTGGAGCAGTGTGTGAGCTGCCTGTTTTCCAACAGTCCTGGCAGCACTGGAATTATTATCTATAATAATAAAAGTATAATATGCTAATTAGACCAGACAGCCAAATGACCTTCCAGATGTCCTTTCAGCCAACCTTACAGATGAAGCCTGAGCTGCAAGGACTGAGCAGCTTGCACAAATTTCGTGCATCAGACCTCTAGTATAAATCTTAGGTTAATTCGTCTAATGGAATTTTCTTTTCTTTTCTTTTTCTGAATTTCTGCAAAACAGATAGCCCAGCACTATTTTCCATTAATGCCTCCAGGAAGAACCCCATCAGCACTTTTGTGTTATCATGTTCTCCCTCTTGCTGATAGTGTTTCCCGATGTGCGGGTGGGATCCATTTAGGTGACCTAGAGTTGTCAGTTTTGACATTGTGACATCATGTGCTGCCTCTTCCTGGCACAAGAATGATGATTATACAAGAACACACATGAGGGGACAGAGCAGCAGTAGCAAAACCACATGCCCCGCTGGGTGGCCTAACCTAGATTTCTGCCCTGAAAAGGGACTGTGGCAGGATGAGCAAGAGAAGTCTCTGACTGAACTTGACTCCTTACTAAAATGCAGACTTGGGTCTTGTGGGACTTTTGGACAAATATCAGGACCCTTTAAACTTTTTTCTTAAAGGTTCTGCCTTTCTTTTTAGTGGTTAGTGGGAACAGAGGTGCATCTGCTCCACTTCTAGTTGTGGATGAAAAAGGGGCAACATACTAACCCTGACAAGCTCAAGGGACACTTGTATGATGGCCTTACAAACTCTGAGACCAAAAGTAACCACATAGGATGGTCTGAAATGAAAACTTTCTAGGTAAAAGGGAGACACGATGGGTAGTCATGTCCTAGTTCGGTATCTTTCTTGACCAAGGACAATCTTTACCTGAAATGAGCTTGTCTATTGCCTTTTTTGCATTTAGGATTCCATACCTTAGGAATTTCAGGGAATTCCCCACCCCCAGCCCCCAGGTCCCTGAGCCAGGGCACAACCCCCCACAGCAGAGCAGAGATCACAAATCCCATCATTGTTATCATGTTAATTGTTGACTGTTAACTATCTTATAAAAACCTCTGTAAAATAAGTACATGTGTATTTGTTTTATTTTTTACCCAATCCCAGATTCTCCCACCTCTCTAATCTATCACCAATGGATTTCATATAACCCCCGGTACACCTCCTCCTTTGATTGTAATGTATAAAATAAGCTGCAAAACTGCCATTCTCTGGAGCATTTTCTCAATCTGTTGAGATTCTGCTTCCTGGCAGTTGTCATCAGTTTGGCTCAAATAAACTCACACAAATTCTCTACAGGTTTGAATGGTTCTTACGTTGACATGATTTTATGCAATTCATATGGAAACTTGAGTATGAGGGACCAGTAGGGTATCTCAAATTTGGATGCAGACTGTGGCTAGAACTGCTTTCATCCTGTCGCCCTCAAAGATGGAGTGGTCAAGGGCAAGGGTGGGGGAATTTGGAGGGTAATGTTTACCCAAGTCCTGGAACCTGCCCCAGTTATGGAGTCGCTTCCCAAACCACCCAGTTATGTGGGTGTGGCTGGTGTCTGTCAAGTCAAGCTGTGTGTGGGCTGCCTTTTTCTTAACATTATTTAATCTTAGATTTGTATGGTCTATCCTGTTTCATCAGGTGTTTTATCCATAAAATACCAAATGGGAAGGTGAGTTTTTCTCTAGTCTGCTAGACCTGCCACTATTCATCTAATCTTCACCTACGTGACCTCTGCTCTCCCAGATGGAAAATGGCCCTCCTTGTAAAGTACATGTATTTTTTGACCATTGTCAATGTAAGGAACATCCAAACCTGTAAAAAATTTTGTGACTTTATTTGAGCCAAATTGATAATTGCTGTAAAGCAAAATCTCAATGGATTGAGAAAATGGCACCTCTACCACTTATTTTATACATCAGAATCAAAGAGGAAGATATAAGAGGGTTACTTACATAAAATTCATTGGTGATAGATTAGGGAGATTGGATAAAGAATAAAATGGAAAGATACTTAATTTACATTGGTGGGTACAGGATGTCCACAATGAACATTTACAACAAGCACCTAGAGTTGGTATTGGGGGAACAAAAGTACAATGAGGGGGTCTAGTCTCCTGCTCTTATGTGAAGGTTATGCCCTGAGGGATCTGGAGAAGGAGCTTACTCTGACCTTCCAAAGATTACATAATTAGGTCTGTTATTTTAGGTGAAAAAGACAACAGGCTCATTTAAGGTAAAGATTGACCTTAGTTAGGGAAAAAATACTGGCCTAGGACATGACTACCTGCCATGAACCGCTCTTGTTAGAAAGCTTTAATTTCATACCATCCTGTATGGTTACTTTAGGTCTCTGAGTTTGTAAGGCCACCATGTAGGCCTCCTTGAGCTTGTCAGGTTTAGTATGTGGCTGCCTTTTCAACCACACCATCATAATGGTTTTCACGTGGCTTAGCCTGGTGCCTGCCTGGGAGCTCTGTTGGTGTGCCTCAGGACAACCCTGCCTCTACTCCAGAGGCACATGTCCAGCTCTCAGAGAAACTTTGTTAGACTGTGGAACTGGGAGGCAGAGAGAAGCTGGCCAGCCCCCTGCCCCTGACAGCACCCTGCCCCTGACTGCCGATTTGCACCAAGGTGCTGTATTTAAGGAGATAGGCTGAATTATTTGATCCTATAGTTTGTGTTTAGAATAAAAATACAGAGAAGGTGATCATTTATTAAATAGGTTTTATTGAACACCAATTTAGTTTCCAGAACATCTCAGATCCATCGTCACAGATAAAAAGTCTTACAAGCATATTATGTACCCAGCCCTAGTTTTAGATCACATGTGTCAAACACAAGGCCCGCGGGCCAAATCCGTCCCGCCAGGCCTTGCAATGTGGCCCGCACCGCGCTGTCATCACTGCACTCCACTGCGTTTCCATCACAATGACAGTTTATGACTGTTCAGTAAACCATTTGGCCCGCGATTTAGGCTGGATTTTAGATTTTGGCCCCTTCTCTGATTGAGTTCGACACCCCTATTTTAGATCTTTACATGTATTTTCATTTCATTCTCATGAAAGACCTGTGAGGTAGATACTATTGTTAATATCCTCATTCTACATATCAGGAAACTCAGGCCCAAAGAGGTCAAGCAAGTTGCCCAAGTGGCACAGCTGGTTGGAGTCTGGGGAGCTGGGATCCCACACAGTCAGGCTCCAGTGCCTGTGTCTAAGCTCCACAGCTCAGGAGGACATGACTAAAGACTAGCATTTCAGCACTGCTCACAAATGGGCTTTCTTGGCAGGATATTTCTTTAAGATGATACTGAAGCATTTATTTTTAGTAAAATGGATTACATACTAGTAACACATACAAGTATGAATGCATGCTGCTGGATAGTAGAATTAGTAGTTAGAGCATAAAAATACCCTATAATGAGGTTTTATTTATTTTTAGTTTAGTTTTTGTTTGTTTGTTTTGTCTTTCACTTTTCTGGTGTCTATGAACACAAACTTGGCCTTGAATTGTGGCCACATACAATAGCAAAACAACAGCTACCATTTATTGAGGGATTATATAGTTAGCTCTGTATACGCATTATCTTTTTAAGTACCTAAATCAACTTTAAGTATCATTGTTGTTATTTTACAGAAGAGGAAACTTAAGTTTATACAATGTGAACTGAGAGTTGGAGAAGACATATCAGAGCTAATAAATGAGAAGGACAGGATTCAAACCCAGATCTCCCTGACTCCAAAGCATGTGCAGAGAGCGCCACACCCTCTGTAGACTTGGTGGACTCTGGGCATCATGAGACCACATTATGTCAGAATCCAGCATGTGAAAACACGTACCTCTGAATTCAAACAAGTGTTATTGAGCACTAGCTAAATTTTGGGCATACTCCTTGGTATACTGTCAAAGATACACCATTTTGAAAGAGAGATTGAAAGGATAGGTCAGGATTAACCTAACTTCTTAACTCCTTAACATGTGTCCTTTCAGTCTACACAAAATCCTATGTGATAGGTGCTATGATTGTTATCACCATTCTACTGACCAGGAAACTGAGTCCCATGTATATTGCTTAGTGAATAGATATCTTGGGCTGCAAGGGTCAGTAAAGCCTTGGTGGTACACAATGTGCCAGGCATATATGATGCGCTCTGTAAAAAGCATTATGTTTGGAACTAGCCATGCTCTGACTTGCAGTTCCATTTAATTGTGCCGTATTCATACATCCAATTTCTTAACTTAAATAGCCTGTTAGCCCCTTGTGAGCAGAAGTCCTATCTCTGAGGTCTCACACTATTACCCTGGCTCGACCAGAGCTGGCAAAAATTCCCTCCTCAGAATCTTTACTGACTGTGTGTGTCAGGAGCATGAGAGTGGGTCTAGTTTTGGGTGTAAAGTCACAGAACTCTGTGTGTCAAGTGTGAAAATATTGCTGACTTTAGAACCAAGGGCTCCTTTTTCCTCTCTTCCTGAGAACATACGAGTATATGATAAAATCAGAGTCATTTTCTTAAGGGCAGCGTTAGGCTGTAATTTCAGCCACAGGCGGATCTCTTCTGTTCCTCCAAGGACTGGGCATGGCCAGCCCTGCTGTAGCTGGTTGAAGGGGACCAAACCTCTCAGGAAGACGGACTTGGTTCCGTTTGACCAGCCAGAGCAGGAGGCATCTCCATTGGGAGTGGCTGCAGGCAACCTCTAGTGTGAGGATTCCTTGGTATCATTGGTCCACACCTGCAACACAGAGAGAACCAGCATTAGCATGAATCAGATCCCAGTGGATTCTTTGCCCAAAACATCCCCTCACGGGATTGGTGAAAACCATACATAATTTTTATTTTGAATTGCATGACTTTGTTTTATTTCCTTTCTTTGATCCTTATTCTTTTTTCAAATATAAACATTGTAAAGAACTAAAAAGTTATAGAAATTGGAAAATACAAAAATTTCTCATAATTCTCTCTCCTCCCATCTTCCAAAATAAATGTAACATTTTGGTTTAAATTCTTTAAATACCTTACATTTTAATTATTATAATAAATTAAAAATTATGGTTTTTTATTCAAATAGGATACATATATAGAAGAATATGTGTAATACATATGTAAGTTGTGACACATAATGATAAACCAATATTCATAAACAATCATCTACTTAGAAAGAGAACCTTACCAATATTATGAGGCTTTTGAATGCTTTTACCAATTTAGTTCTTCAATTTCTCCTAAGAGGTAACTATTATTCTGAGTTCCTTTTAAAAATACAATTTTTACCATTTATGCATATATTCCCGAATAACATCTTGTTCATTTTTTAATATAATGGCATCATACCATAGGTATTCTTTTGTGACTTGTTATTTTTCACTTCAAATGATATTTATAAGCTTCCCCTACAGTGATTGGCAGCTGCAGTTTATTCATTTTTATTGTTTTGTAGTTTTCTGCTATGTGAATGCACTACATTTTACTTAGTAATTTTCTTGGCTATAAACATTGAAGTTGTTTGGTTTGACAAACATGTGACATGGAAAACTTTGGTTCTTGTAGATTTTAAAGGATAAATCGGGATTCCAGTGTGAAAGAACTTACAGGGTGACCTTGCAAAAGTAAAGCAACATCTGGGGATGGAGCCAGACATAACCTGTTCTTCAGGTGATTCTGATACAGCTAAAGTTTGAGAACCACTGGACTGGAGAGATACCTACTGTGTCTTCCTATTTCTGAGTGTGATCAAGGGGATAGGGAGATGATTAAGCAGGAGACTCTCCCTAGTAAGGCAGCCTGGCTATCTTATGATGTTTTTGAACAGGTACAGAAAGAGAAAGGAAGGAAGAAAGGATATTTTAAGTGATGCCAGAACTGCCCTCGGAATAGGTGTTACCTGTCCTTTTGTTTTTCCTCCCTGATGAAGAAAAGTGTAATTGAGTAGAAAGCCTGTGGTCTTGGTGTCACGCTTATGTGGGTTCAAATAACACTTGCTTCCTGGCTCTTTTGCTCTTAGGAAGTTACGTAACATCTTTAAACCTGTTTTACGTCTGCGTAGTTGGGGAGGGCAGCTGCCTTGCCTATCTGTTGTACGGCTTAGTGAAAACAAAGGAAAGGTGGCCAACACTAAGTCCCCAGTGGGCACAATGGACACTCTCAGGGGTCGGGGAGTCCTAGACACAATTCTGACAGTTTTTAAGGCCGAGGGTTTCATTCCCAACGCCAACCTTTCATTCATGTATATCCCTTCCATCAGCGCAGTATGTTCATTTCACCTGTGAAGTTGGAAACCACTTCAGGCAAAGCAGAACTAGTATAACCAACCAGGAGGACATCTTCCAGATAGACCCCAGCTTAGGTGCTCTGTCTGGAATAAATAAGGTATTCTAGAAATCAAAGAACCCAACAAGGTACCGTAGAAACACCAGCTGGGTGGAAGCACACGGGATGGTGGCGGTGGGAAAGCACAGGCCCACCCACTGTGGCTTGGTTCAAGCATGTCCTGGCAGGATGATGTTGAGGCTTCTTTTTAATGCTGAGTCTCCTCTTTCTTGGCATGCTTCCTGCTGGCTCAGCACCAGGCATCTTACCTTCACCTTCCTTCTCCTACCAATGACGGGGGGGGGAGCAGAGGGGGTGTCTTAAGATGGCAGTCCAGCTCTTCCTGTGGCTAACTTTTGCCCTAGCCCAGCCATCCTTCCTCAGGTTCTCCTGGGGAACAAGGGAGTAGGCAGCCATGGGGTGCAGGTCAACCACCCAGTCTGAAATCAGGATGGAAAGAGTGTGTGGGTCCAGCACGTCAGTTAGAACGTCATGACTCTTAATTTCTTCAATCAGGACATTTCTCTTCATCATCTCTTTCTTCTTCTTTACTCACATCCTGCCGTGCTCACACAGTACACCCTTGATTTCTGAGCAAATGACATGCAAACAATCTCCAGGGTAAGAAAGGGAAAACTCTCTTTAGGGCAGTTATGGTTTAGAAAAGGGAAGAGTTGTCATCAGAAAGAAGCAGAATTTTGAGGCAGCTGCCTGGTTTCTAGGCAAGAATGTTCATAAAGCAAAGATAGTAGTTTTCTTTGAAAGATAATAAGTCACCATGTGCTGATGTCAAAAACCTTATTCATTCAAAGCACAGCCGCCTAAAGCAGGGTTTCTCAGCCTTGGTGCATTGACCTTGGGGTCAGTGGAGTCTTGGCTGAGGAGAGCTGTCCTGGCAGATTGTAGGATGTGCAGCAGCATCTGTGATCTATATCCATTAGATGCCAGTAGTACCCACTGGCTGTTACAACTAGGAATGTCCCCAGACATAGCCATATATGCCCTGGGGACAAAATCACCTCCAGTTAAGAACCACTGATGTAAAGCTCCCAGTTTGTGTATTCAGTCTTATAATGGCTCCATCTCTAGTAAATTCTCCCACATTCTTTCAAGTTCTCCTCATTCCTCAAAGAGTACAGGTTAGCATGTCCTTGAAGGTCAATAGGTAGCTGTGGGTGTCTGGATGAGGTAACTGGGTGCTGTCACCTGTGTTGCTACAGCCTGGTGAGGGGTTTGGCTCATTGTACTCAGAATGCCTTCACCTCTGAGGGAAAGGCACCCTTCATCTCCAGCCACTGTGCATGTATCTGCTGTCTGCTCTCTCTATAAATATAAACATGTGCATCCTCCCTTTGTCCTTCCCTTGCCTCCTCATCCCATGTCCTCTTTTTGCTGTGTCTCAGTTCTCTTCGATAGCCTCCTCCTGTACACTTTGGATCACACCTGGTGTCTCCTTTCATGGTTCTGTTTAAGAATTTAGGACATTTAGTGTGGGCCTTTCTCTCACACACTTACACTGCAGCAGGGAAGCCATGCTGTGGACTGTGGGAAGCCAGCCTGAAGCTGGGGTTAATGAGGGAGGGAGACCCCTGCAGCCTCCTCCCTCATTCCAAAACGCTGGGGCAGGGGATGGCCTAAACCATGGGTGACTGCAGTTTCTCCTTCTGCTCAGAGCTTCTCTCCCTAAGACTGTCTCCACCTCCTGCTTGGTGTGGGTCCAGCCCTTTAAGGTTGGGGCTGGGAACACGGGGGATCAGGGAGGAGGAGGGAGAGAGACTTAGCCCATTAGATGAGTGAATCCCCAATTTAGCACCTCAATCTTTCCCCCTAACGGTCTCATTCCAAGATTCTGCTTGGCTACAGGGCCAAGTGAAGAAGATAGCAGAGCAGGTCAGGGGCCTGACTCAGTGACCAGAAGCTGTGGCATCCTGGGCCCAGAGTCGCTGCCTTTCTAACTGCAGCGAGAGCCCTATGAAATGTGCAAACTGCCATGGCCACATATGACTTAAAGATAAGGAAAGGGACGGATCTAAAAGAATCACAGTTCAGTTTGGTTAATATTGGACACATCTCTTTTCAGGAGCAAAATGACTGGAGGAAGGAGCTTGGAGGGCCAGGCTGGTTCTGTGAAACACCTTTAGGCGATAGGGTCTCTCCCTGCCCAGGAGGCCTGAGGTGTGAGGCTGGGACCACAGCTGCGTGCAGGGTTCTGGGGCCGAGATGGGACCTCTAGCGAAAGAAGGGCCCATGGGAGAGCAGCCAGACAGATTTGGAGGCTCTCTCTCCGTTGGTGAGGGAGACGCCTGTGCCACAATGCCCTGGAGAGGAGGAGGGTCAAACCTGTTCTCTGGTTAGACCATGGGACCAGCGAAGAGGCGCTCGCCGAAACCACACACTTCCTTACATTCCATAGCAAAGTAATCGTATGGGGATATAAAGAAGCATGTGGCCTCAGTAAGCAGTTTTGGCCCAGGCTTTGTCCACCTTCCAGATGCAGCCGGCATCTCCGCTGTGAGCCACTCTCACCTCTCTCCTCCTCCAGCTGAGAAGTGCTTAGAGAGTGAGACCACGAGGACCCCACCACTCCACCTCCCAAACCGTCTTGGAGGAATGGCAGTGCTTTGGGGGCCCTATTTCCCCCCTGCTTTTTGTTCAGAAATAAACAGCGCCCAAGTTTCACCGGCTTATTTCAGTGCAGTTATAATCTCTGTTATCACTATTCATTAATTTAATAGCTGCTGCTCTACACATTTCAGTAGGATTTTAATGTTTGAATTCCCATGAAGGGAACATTTTTTTAAAAAGAGAGGAAATTCAATAGACATATTCTGTGTATGCATGGAGAACAAATCCCGCTTAGAAACAGATGCAAGCCCTCCTGGGCTTCCTACTGTATGTCTGCTGCGCGCGTGGGGAAGCCTGCAGCTGCCGGGGCAGCATTCCAAGTGCGATTGTTCATTGTGGGAAGGATTTTGCTGTTCAGATTCTGCTCCCCCAGCCCATCACCTGCCCTGCAAGCTGTTAAGCCAGAGCCACGGAAGAGTGAGGGACGCTGGCAGCTGTCGGGCCACTGGGGTCTGGACAGGCCACCCCAGCTAAAGGGCAGTGGGGATTTCAGCTTCGTGACCTTTAATTCACTGCCACAGAACAGGGAGTGTGACAACAGAACTGCACCCCAAAGAAGGTTTGAGGCTCATAGCACTGACAAGGGCTTAATGAAATCTAATGATAAAAGTAATAAAAGAAGAGTGAACGTTTTCAAGCTTACTGTCTATGGCAGGGATCACTTTTGGTGCTTTGCATATTCAAGCTACTTACATCCACTGCTCTGTGAAGCAGCTGTTATTTTTACCTGGTTTTACAGATGAGGTCATAGAAATGAACAGGTTTACTTACATATATGTAAATAGTAGTTCTTAAAAAACA